TAATTTCATTGATTTCAGAGAGGAAGGGAGAGGGAGAGGGAGAGAAACATCAATGATGAGAGAGAATCATGGATCAGCTGCCTCCTGCACGCCCCCTACTGGGGATCGAGCCTGCAACCGGGGCATGTGCCCTTGACCAGAATGGAACCCGGACCCTTCAGGCCACAGGCTGCTCTATCCACTGAGCCACACCATCTCAGGCTTGGCTATAATTTTAATGTCCGTGTTAACTCTTATTCATACAGAAAAGAATGTTAGAAAGAGCACACTGTTGAAGTTTAGGAAGAAACTTGTTGCATCCTCTTACAACTGCACTGAAGAATCTCACAAATTCGCTGTTGACCACTTCCTTCCAACACTTATTATTTGTGAGTCTTTATTCCCATTAGACCCAATATGGAATCCTCCTCAAACACTACACGTACTTCGAGTGTAGGTCGAGTTTCCTGGTTGGGCAGCGCTTTTTCCTAGGCGCCCCGGGCCCTGGCCCGGCTCCGCTGGCTGAGCGTCACCTGTGCTGGTAACCCTGCACAACCCACAAAGACACGGTTGTATTTTTTAGAAACAACTGCCCCTTAGACTTAACTTTTGTTGTCATTGTTGTTCCTCACCCAGGATATTTTCCCATTGATTTTTAGAGAAAATGGAAGGAAGGGAGAGGGAGAGACAGAGAGAGAGAGAAACATCAACGTGAGAGAGACATATCGATTGGTTGCCTCCTGTATGTTCCCTCTGCAACCGAGGTACGTGCCCTTGACCGAAATCGAACCCGGGACCCTTCAATCCTCCTGCGACACTCTATCCACTGAGCCACACTGGCTAAGGCCCTTGGCCATAATTCTTAGGGACCATCTTGTTTCAAGGATCGGGGGTCCTCTAGTCCTCCTGTCCGGTCCCCAGGGAACCAGTTCTCCCTTCTCTGTGCTCCTGAGCTCCCAGATGCCCTCCCCCGCTGCGGGCCACCCTCTCACCCAGGCACCAACCAGATCCCCCCCGCGGGCCAAGCTCTCACCCAGGCACCAACCAGATCCACCCCCGCGGGCCGTGCGCCCTCACCCAGTTACCAACCAGATACCCCCTGCGGGCCGTGCGCCCTCACCCAGTTACCAACCAGATCCGCC